CTCAATGCTATAACTGAGAAGTTTCTGAATTGAGAGACAATCAATAAATCTGAACATTTACTTCTAAATATTAACAACTAACAATGATTAAAGCACGCAAATTAAAAAAAAAAACAAGCGGTCAATTCAATATAAAGTATTTATTCATGAAAGGAGAGAATCCATGATAAATACAAATGAATTTGGCACCAAAAATCTTGGGAATAGATTTTAATAATCTGTACAAGAGTTCAATAAGTGTTTTATAAATACCTATCACGAGCAGCACAAATCAAATTGGTTTTGCACAAGCGCTTACATTCCTTTACTCGTTCCACCAAATTAACTCGGTCTTTCATTCTCATTCAAATTTGCTTTCGAGACTGGAGAAAAGTCCTGCCGCATGCCATTTTTTGAGTGATAATCATTCTTAAAGGATTCACAAGTACCTGATAGAGGTGGAAACGATTTGCTAATGAGCAGCGTCATGCTCGTAATTCCGTGGTAATTTTTCTCCTATCAAGAATACAACTCAAAGAGACGAAACGAAAGCCAAAACTTCATGCAAATATCGCCACAGTAAGACACATTCAGATTACGGAGTACGTCGAAAACAGCATCTTTCAAACACAGGCGACCTCACTAAAATCTGAAGTACACGCCTTAGAAACCTTGTTCGGATCGTGCATGGATGAGTCTCACTTGTTCTTGATCGAACTCGGCCGTCCCGACACATGAAATATTCATGGGACGCTCTGACAGCTGGAAAGGACCGGAATCCTTACATTTGTTAACATCTAGTGAAACTATGCAATGAAACTGAGAAAGAACGCTACGCTTCGAAATCTGAAACATGAAATTTTGTTAATGAAGAATATTTAAATTCTAATTCAGCATTTTTATGAAGGCTATGCTTAGTAAGAACACCCCACAGAATTTTGACACACAGAGACAACTATGATAAATTGCACCCAACGAAATTCTGAAACCACCCGAGTGTGCCCAATGCATTCAACACGTAGAACCCGAGCATTAGTGTCATTAAAATCATCAGCCATGTTGCTTCATAGCTGGCACGGTCCTGCTCAGCTGACTAGATGTTACACGAGCAGCAGGAGGCCAGCGACCGCTCGTAGGCCGCGCTAATTCCTTGCAGCTTCTCCGGCCGCTTCGACTGAACCACAAACTTTTTCTTGAAAGCTCGCTGCACAAAACGGGCATCTCACTCTTCGTAATACAAGTTGAATCAAATATGACCGAATTAATTGTGAAAATTTACAATAGGCTAGCTGTTTAAATTCAAATAAATATAAATCATAAATAAATATAAATCGTAGTATGCCTCAAGTGCAATTATTATGATACATGAGACGAAGGCAAATAGCCGAGTCTATAATGCTCGCAGAAAAAATTTAAGTCAACAACATTTCATTTCATTCTTGGCGCCCATTCGTTTGATTCACGAAAACTCACACTAATTTTGAATGACTTTACCTCCAACTCCAAAGACGACTGTTATATTTCATTTCAATGCGTCTTAACTCGCACCATGCAATGGTTACTATAGGAATTCCTGGGTGGCCAATTCACTTACAAACGCATGTGGAGATTTTCACACGTTCTTCCAGTTAATCTCTCAGTTCTATTTCAATTTGACTGAAGCTATCAGAAAACGCGATAATTGAATCAAAAAACATGAATGACAAATAATCATATTTTCTCTGATGAAAGTTAACTAACTGATACATTCAGTTTGGAGTAAAGGGTTCGACGATACTCAATACCAATATTTATATGAAAATTTCCCTGCGCTGAAAGTAATAATGTAAGTATTACTAAGAGATTTAAACGCGCACCAGGACTTAGATGTTACTGAATGTTAAAGGGCGGACTGAATGTTAAAGGACTGACTGAACGTTAAAGGACTGACTGAATGTTAAATGACTGACTGAACGTTAAAGGCCTGACTGAACGTTAAAGGCCTGGCTGAATGTTAAAGGACTGACTGAATGTTAAAGAACTGACTGAATGTTAAAGGGTCGTGTATTTCAAATTTTGCTTTTACTTTAAACTTGCCAAACGGCGAAGCAAACGCACACACGTCACCACTGCTCGCCATGGCAGCAACTATAGGCCGCATATCGGTGGCATTAATTGATCAATCTTGCCGGTCAATCATTTGTTACTATCTGTAAGGAGCATAAAAGTTTAGAGCTCCATGAGCAGAGCATGGAGTATGGCAGCTCCATGGGCAGAGTATGGAGTGTGGCAGCTCCATGAGCAGAGTATGGAGTATGGCAGCTCCATGAGCAGAGCATGGGCGCACCCGACAAGGTGTGGGAGGGCTGACGATCAAAACATAGACTGGACCTTCAACAATCAGGGAAAACATCTTACTTTTTTTCCAGGATCACATGCGGAACCAGTCATGCGAGCTATGACTAATTTCATACTCGAAAAACTGTAGGGGTCCAGATCATGTGGAATAATTAGAAACGTTTCGTGTAGGATTAAACGAGTCTTCGTACACATGTTAAATGTCAGGCTTAAGGCGTTAACGACAAAAACTAGTTTGAAAAGTGCATTAAACTCGTGCATCACCTTATAAAATTCTCTACAGCATGTAGAGCCCAATCAACTATACACGAAGAGCCTTGATTATAAGGCAACTATGCTTCAACCCAATTACGCTCTCGCCTTAACCCCATTATAACTCATACAGAACACGAGTGTTCCTAATTGTCTGAACATAATCTCTTTAATGGCAATTCTTTTTATCTGCATAGATATATCTCGTTACGGGCACGATTTGCGCAAGCTTTGTTGCACGATCCGTTTGCCCTACACTGTTCAATACGAACAATGAGTTTAGATCGAGTGCGAACTGAGCGCACGTCGAGTGCTAGAATCGGAAGCCAGTTGAGAGCTCGCATTTTTGCGTACTCTTCGAGGGTTCAGATCAAATACAATACAAGTGACATGATCGTCCAGCTAAAACGATCATGAAGTGCTCAGATCACCTCAAACTGAGTAGATATTCAGTGCTAAGAACGATCGAATATAGAAAACTGATGTAGAGCTCGCATATCCTTGAGAGCTCAAACGGGCCAGAAAACTTGCCTATCATGTAGAACAACTGAGAAATTCTAAGATTTTAAACAATGACATATTTACTGCAATATAGCGCCATGCAGTATTTGATGTCAAATTTGAGATCGAGAATCTGGCGGAATCTGAACTAATAATGAGTCGTCGAAGTCGTTATATACTTCTTCCACATTTGAAAGAAAAAAAAAAACATTTTATTCCCGTGATACGTCAGGCTAAAATTTAGAATAGTGATTGCAGACGTTGATAAATATTTGCAGTTATTTAGGAGTCATAACAGGCAAGTTAGGTGAATCTTCAATGAACATCGCTTAAGATCGTCAGATTAAAAATCGCTTAAAATCCGATGAATTACGTTAGTTTGTATTAAATTTTAACGACGCTACATTATGTCCCTTCACCAATCCCAGAAACAAAATATCTCAACATAGATGGTAGTTCGATTGGGTAAATGACATAATTTAATGATCATTTTTAATTTCCTATTTCTTCTAAAGTGGTTCTACTTTATTCGTCAATTCCACGATTACTTGGTGGCCCACGATGGAATTGCGTAATCAGCGTTGCCAGATGGTATATTTCTATACCAGATTTCACAAATCTGGTATTTTCAGAAGGTGTCTGGTATGAATATTTTAGATCTGGTATATATGCCTAAATCTGGTATTTTTCTGGTATTTTCTGACTTACTGCAAATTTACTGCATTAAGTTCCACCTCTGAAATTTGAACTTCCTCCAGCGTTGGCGTGGATTATATTATTATTTATATAGATTGCCTTCAGAGCGGCGCGATTAGAGCTTTCCCGCCATTTTTGGAACCGCAAGTTTACCGCTTGATGAAATAACCCCAATCTAATTGTTAACATTTAACAAAAGTGCTTGTGCAATATAAGCACGAGAGTGATGATCCTTGATTGATTACTGATCAGTGTGATCTATATATTTTTCTTTTTCTAACCAACGTTTCTGACGAATAGTTTCATTAAATTTGGAGGTATTAGTCAGTTTTCAAACAATAGAATTTCTGATATATTTATGGTATTTTGAGCTAGGCAATCAGGTATTCTCGCAGAGAAAAAACCTGACAACACTGATTGCGTTGCCCGCATTTCAAGTGGAGAACTAAGCTGTTGCGGAGTAGCTGGACTTCAATTCAAAATAACTTACACCTGGCACTTCCAATAAGTTTTCATGGAGTTCCAAACATCCAAATGTATAAATGTGGACAGGATAATTTATCATCAAAATACTACGTGTATCTACAACGTTCCTTGCTTCATAAACTTGCATTTGGTAAATTGGTACTCACTACTCAGATACTGAAATAGTGCAAATTATAGAAAGGAGTGGCTTGACATCGCTATTTTAATAACACAAACAATCGTAATTACGACCATTAATCGCTAGAGAACTTCAATAATTTGACACCCTTCAATTTAATTGGCCGATTTAACCAAATTTTATGCAGAATTTGCTACCTACTAAACCTGCGCTTCACGACACGACTAGCTAGATAGGGACAGGCTATGGCGGCTGCAGGTAACGAGATTTAGGATAACTCAGCTGATCCGCGCGTGGGTAGACAGTTAATTTTACCGCAGTTCTTTGTCACGGACACGGTTGTATGTAAGAGGTTATAAATACATTAATCTCAATCATGTGAATACGTGAAGCAGAACTGAACTTAAAATTCACTTAAAGTTCCTTCAATAGGAAAAAAATTCTTCAAAAATCAAGATTCTTCCAAAGCTGAATTTTTTGGAGTAACGCGACAAGAAACAGCTGAAAATTTTTTCTATGGTACCTGCTAAACTACAGAAGTACCGAAAGATTAATAAAATAAACAAAAGGACTAGGTTAAATTCAATTTATGAATCGTAATACATGATCCTAGTGGTGTCTTGTGTCTTACCTGGCAATGGGTTCTGGGTCTAGGATGTACCACTTCTCGATGGGGTCTGTGTTGACGATGCTTGCAAGGGTCTGCTCTGAGAGGGAGACTTGCCCTGTCTCAGGCACTGCCCTCCACATGCCTTTGCTAAGTAGCACATTACCCCTCATGCCTCCTACGTCGCTCAAATGCATAACCCGAGCTTTTGCTTCTGTAGTCTCACTCCTATCCTCAAGTTTGTAGTGCTTCAGTAAAAATCACCTTTGTGTCGTTTCCAATTGATTTCGTGTGTGATGCTAGTCTTAATCACGTTAAAAGACTTACGTAACTGGAAAACAGATTAGTAAATTTTCGGCGATATTCATTGCACTTCACACTGAGGACACTGAAAAAGTCACAGCTTGCAAAACTCTTCGGGAAAATCAGACCCAAGCTCAATGAGTTGGGCAGTGGACGACGGGAGTCTCGTGGATATGAGGACGTTGATGGCGCCCAGCTTGCCGCGCGAACCGCTGACGTTAACTGAGACTGACTTGGCTCACTGACCCACTGCGCCGCGCGTACCAAGGCTGGTTCTGTGACTAAACGACGTCCTCGAAGGGTACGCTCGCAAGACACCTGTGGTCCTTTGGACTATCAGGAATCTAGTCCGAAATTCTTTTGTAATCTCTGAGGTATGAGTTTTGGATAACAGTCCCTGCGCTTACGTTATAGCATGTTTGGCGTAACTTATAGACGCACATGTCACCAGGACCCATAATGCCTCAATTACCTTAAATGTGCGCCATTATATCACTGATGATGCCGATATGCATGTTTACATGGGGATTTAAGCCGCGTGTTTCTGGACAACGCTTTATAAGAAAGGTTCTCATGGGTGCAAGTAACATCTAATAAGGCTAAGTCGTTAGGGCTTCTGAGTTACTGCAGTTTCAAGGCTCAACATCCGAAAATGGAAGCGTTCCTTGCCGACATCCAAGGTAACTTGCAGTACGTTAAAGCATTTAAAAACGTGTATTAGTTAAAATATACAGGCAATAGATAGGACAATGGCACATACATCTTTCCGTAAAGCCACGGTTATATTTCATACGTGAAGTACAAATAGTTTCATTAAATTTTAGTAAGTGAATATAACCGCATTTATACCGACCAATTTCAATAAATCGATCCTATATTTATCAAATTTCATGTGTTTGTTAGCGGGAAATTTTAGCCGTAAATGTATACCTGCTGACCGATGCAAGGATGTTAACTTCGTATCTGGGTTTCAACTGGGAATGAAATTTTATTTTAGTGGTGGAATCGGGGGACATTTAAAAATGGGAGTAGTTATTGGGAATGGGAATGAAAAGTTGCATCAAAAATTTAAATCTCATTCTTACTTTGGCTAGCGTACATTTCATAAAAAATAGCAAGTTAAAGTTTACGTCAAATTTAAAATAGGACTTTCATGGGAGTTTTTATTTTCAAAGACTATATCCTTAATTTTTAAAGCGTCTTTCTTTAATTTACTTGCTTTAGTTTCAAAATTATTGACTGGATTGCAGATGAAGGTACTTTGAGAAACAGGATTTACAAGTTGCTGGTATAATATGTGTATGTCCCAGAAAACGCCGGAGTAATGTGCCCGAATATTTTATACAATTTAAAAAAATTGCTGATCTGTGTATAATTTTGCTTCAAGCACTTCAGGTGGAGTAATAAACATCTATATGAAACGGGTGATTTCAAGAGATAAAACTTCGTGACAACTTTGCGCAAAACTGAAATTTTTTGACAGCTTCAAAAATGTTTTTATGTATTTTATGAATACTTTCTAACTCATCTCATTTGTTTCAAAATACAACTTATCGAAAAATTCTTATCAGTTACATTTACGACTTGAAGCGAACAAAGATTTTTCCGCATATATTCGTCTGGATTTTTAATCCTTATGGATCCACATTTTAAAATTATATTAGCATGCCTCCTCAAATTTGTATGGGTCGCAATGGTAAGATGCTTCCCATAAAAGACGTATGTACGCATCTCTTACGCTGGATTTATGACTTATTAACACAGAGTTGGCGCGCTTTACGGCTCATGAGGCATTCAAACTACGTGTATTTGCGCTTACAAGGACGGTACGAGCAAACTGAGGTACCTGCTTGAACCTCAGCAAAGCTAACCAAGACTTCTGAACTCCGGCCATCCAACAACCCCTCGAAATGTCTCTTGAATTTCTCAGTAGGTTTGTTACTCATACAAATTCCCTGCAGCCTTGTACAGGCAAGCTCGTGTAAGGCTGCTATGAGTTCTTCAGTGACCACCGATTCCCAATTTGAGAGTGGAATCCCAGACACCAGTGACCAAACACCTGCCGCCAAAACTAGCCTCTTGTGGTCTGAATTCCCGTAGACAAAATCTCTACAGCCTCCATGTGAATTTTGAGTACAGAATGACTTGGTTTTTTACTCATACATATTTCAGTCACATTCTCTTTTAATTTAAAGCTTCGGTTTTCATTCTGATGCGTTGTTCAAAATGAAGAACTTTTAGCCTGAAGAACAAACCCTAATATTACTTTTTCAATCGATATATGGCAAAAACTGTTTTTCTCAACAAGACATCGAACTATTTCTACAATTGAATATCTGAACTTTCCGGATTGAGATTAATTTGACTACCGACATCAACGTGGGACAGTCTGCTTGTGCAAAGAGGTGCATATGCAGCAAGAATCATTGCGCCAGTATAGGCCATTATTTATGTCATTGTCATTGAGGTAATTGGGGCGTGAGATGGCCTATGAGTGTTGCGGAAGTAATGTGGTGGCGTCCCGTATAGGAAAACTGGTCTGCTCAAGGCTTCACTACACTGATTGCTTTCTATCTAAATATTTCTATAAGTCTAGAATCTAGATATTCTATTCAGCCGGTTTCTAGGAGAGTCCGTAAACGGGGATTCAAGAAAAAGATTGATAAAATCTAATCAAAATTGCATTTTTTAAATCCTTTATTTCATTTGGCTTGTTCAGCCGTGTCCGAACATAGCCTAGGTATCGTAATTCCTTCTACAATTTCCATCATTGTTGATTTTTGCGTAGGAAAAATTCTTGACTTTTTCCTATGGTGCTTGAACTATCGCGTGAGGCAGGGGTAGCTGATCAGACGAGTTTTGCCTACGACTCGAATTGCTTCGAAGAATTTGTGTAACTTCGCTGCTGTTACAAGCTGATGCTGACGTGTCGCGGGGTGAATCACGACTGAGACTTGAATTTCCACTTCTTACACAAGTGACTAATTCGTCGAATTCGTAGGAGTAGAAAATTTCGCAGTTGTAGCGATCTCGTCAAAAAAGGCTCGTTTGTTTGTGCCTCAGTCCTAGCGTACAAGAAAAAATTTCATCAACTCATTACTTTTCTGGATTTTACCCAAACGAAATTTCTTCTATACCTATTTTGCTTATGTAGCGAAGCCGCGCTAAATATTTCAACATGTTTCAAACTAAATGTATCAGCACGCGTATTGATTCCATCTACAAGCGATAAAGGATGCAAAATTCGTATACATGCACTGAGTCTGTATAAGATAAAAGTAAAATATGCAGAGTATGTGCATTGACTCGACATAAATGATGTAAAACATGTAGCGGCGCATATATGTCCATAGATCGTGTTAAGTACATCTGCTACACACAAAGGGACCTTGAATACATAGTATGGTAATAGCGCCATAAGTCCCAGCTCTCGAACTATACTTATAATGTCTCTCTCCATCCCTTCTCGACTCAATACAACATCAATCATTTCCTTAACCTCAAATTTCCGGGGATCTGAAACGACGTAGCGATATTAATTGACGGTAAATTACCCATCTTTGTGTTGTGGATCTCCGTCGGAATCGCAGCCCGCAAATATTTTAATATCCACTGCAATAAACTTAAAATCTTTGTAATGTGCTGCGTCATTTTTAGCTGAGCTACACAATGTGAGTTTTAATTCGAACTGTTGGCACGATTGTTCTGGGGTGATCGCTTGACACGCTCGATCGTGCGGTCAAATCTCGCACCTTCGACCAGTCCGTCACCTCTATAAAGTTATCCCGATAACTAAGAATAAACACGAGAAGTGTTCCCAGCAATGATGGTTAGCATATGTACCTCTTTTTAAATCTAGCCATGAATTTAACTGTATTTTGGTAATATAAGCAGAGAAAAATATAGAAATGCAGAGTTTTCAAGGAATGTGAGTTTCATCAATCACCTCACCACGACCAAGTGATGAGAACCTGCACCTCAACACGCAACCTAGTGTTGCACTTGAGTGCTGGAATCAGTAATTTTTTATAATTAGAGGAATAACTTATTTAGTATTAATGAATCCATGAATTAGTGTGAAAAAAATATAATACGAACACGTGACAATATGAGCTTTCATTTGTTTACAATAAATAAAAGATACAACACGAGATCATAATACAATGATATGTCATGACACTATCTTTACAACATGTTGAAAAAACCAATAAGAAATTTTTCAATAAAGCTAAATTTTCTCGTCTTTAATCAAATCTTAAAAAACAGACGGTACCTTCCTGTACTAATTATAGTCATTTTTGTACATTTTATGTACCATAATACTGATAAATACCCGTTGTAGCAGAGACACCAACGCAACACAACACGAATGAGAAATATTAGTTTAAAAAAGTTTACAAAACATAACAAACACATAAATTTTTAAACTAGTGATAGCAGCTGAGCCAGCCGTCCTGGCATCACGCTTCTCAACATTGCACGAATGCAAGAATAATGCAAATTTATGGCCAAATTTATTAATGGATGGTCTTCATGTATAAGTCGGACAATCTCAGACCAGATGCAATACAGTCAGATAATATTTATATTTATCTTCAATAGCAAAGTTTAATATATAGTTTATTTTTAGATGAACGTGGCATCTCTTGAAAGCGCCTGAACAAGAGATTGGGGGCGCATTTTATACAGAATTCTGTACTGTAGGTGCAGGGCGGCGACGGTGTTGGTGAAGGGCGCGACGCACTAACACAACACTTGCTGCGTCAGTTCAGACTCATCAACGCTGAATGATACAAAATTACATTCATCGTGCATGCCGAGCCGAATATCAGGCATGCTGCATGAAAGAGAGCCTCTTCGTACCTCCGCCATGTCGCACTCGTAAGCGGTTCTTAAATGTCACGAACCTGAATCACGCAGTGTTGTTAAACTTCTCCTCACTTCAGTGTAACTATCGTGTGTTCCTGGAACATCAGTGAGACTGACGTGATTTACAGGCACATCGATTTAAATAATTGAGTCCTTGGGATGACAATGTCTTTAAATTTAGTTTTGGTATGCCAGTGTAGTTAGTGAGAGGACTTTGCTCATCAGTGTAACTAAAAATTAAATTAAATTACGACGCTGAGTACTTGAGTGTTGTGTACACGACAAGTAAGTGTAGATAACTTGAGTCCACGGCAAGTCAGTGTAGATAACTTGAGTTCACGGCAAGTCAGTGTAGCTTATTTGAATTCACG